ACGATCGGTCGATATTATCTTCGACTACTTACCGTTGTAGCTTATGAAACTTCTTTTATCAAATGGAAAGTGCCTCCCGATAATAACCTGGTCTATCAAAATTGAGCGTGAACACCCTCTCGAAAAATGTGTTGAATTACTGTGCTGTCTCTAAATTCATTTTTTCATAAGGAGAATCTTTCACAATAGTTTTCAATTAACGACGGGTACCCTTTACATCTGCAGATCGCTATACACCGATAGAACAAGGAATTCGATGAAAACCAAGGATAATGCAACAGCGACTGTAGTAGTAACGTTATTGTCGTGATCACGCTATGTAGTATTAGTAAATAGTGTTTTTGATTTTCCAATCCCGTTCACTCGAATTCAACGTTTTCATTAAACTTCACACACAGATTACTAAACAAAGCATGCCAGATTTTCTGTACGACTGTATTTCTTTACCTATGGATTCCGAATGATCATATGCTTCCTGCAAAATTTGAATATTGCAAATTTAACGTTAACGATCGTGTTTTATTAATTCATGAAGGATTTATTCAAGAAAAATTCTTCTTCCGTTTAACTGAATTCAGAGATGAAATTCATATTTCAGCAAGGATAGATTTGATTCATATTAGTGCAAATAACTCAAATTCAATGTGAAAATTGTCGTTTTAGTAGCTTTCGTAAAAATGGGAATATGAAATACGCTCTGGTCGTAAATATGGACTTAAGGAAGAACAATTCGTAAGTATTTTATATAGCTTCCTTAAAAATACCTTGTATTTACTATATTTAATGTCGAAACACCCGAAAAATATGTTCACAACATCACCCGATAAATACCTGGATTAATCAAAATTGCTTTGAAATTGCACGCATTCATTGCTGTTTGTATTTAAAAGTATGACAAATCTTTTCCCTCAACCCAATGGTGTTATCGATAACGTCGTGGCCTTGAATGAACAGGAATCATTCCAGTTCACGCTATGCCAACGTTATTAGTTAATATCGCAGTTATCGCCAAATTGTCCGTGTCGTTTACGCAATTTAATCTTTCCGATGGACTAGCTTCGTAATCGTGACGAAACATCTATCGCGTAATCATGTGTATAGATTCTTTATTCGTTTCTTTCAATGGAGGGGTTAGAATGCAGGATGTAAAAGATGCCTTTATGAGAACATCGTTTAAAGTTTAAAGTATTTTATTGTACAATATACTTAAATCTACAATACAAGTACTAAGAACCCACGATCGTACGAAAAATAGATAAAATAAAAGGAAAAGAAAAATCGGGCTACACTAAATAGCTCCGTAAACGAATTCGCGAACACAGGTTCGTACTAAAAAAAATAAATTACATCGCAAAATGTATGTCGTTTCGCCTTTCTGCATGTACAGAATTTCATATTATAGTCTTTGTTAAGCAGATGTGTATACAATAGTCTGCCTAATGCTTGTGCCCTTTCTTCTAGCACTTGACGTTTTCGGGTTTGTCGCATACTCGTCTCTCGCGGTCGAACCACCGACCGCCCGGGCAGTACATTTTTACCAACTCTCCATTTTGGCAGATATAGTACAATTCGCATTGGCACTCGTGCGAAGTCTTTTGACCCTCTGTACATTTACGTTCCTTGCAATTCACATTTTGCGGCAAGTCGCACATCTGCTTCACCTCGTTATATCTAAGACCATGTGGACATTTGAGGGGTACTTTTCTGCCATTCCGACACTCGTAGTACATAGTACAATCTGAATGAGGGTAACGTATTTTACAGGAAGAGTCTGTAGTGGGGCATTCTGGATGATTCCCTCCTCCGCAACAGTTAGTGTTTTTCGGTAAGTCACAGCTCTCTACAATCTCGTTGAAACAATGCCCCTCCAGACACTTGTTGTGTTCCACTATGCCGTTTACGCATTCGTAATACCGATTGCAGTCTTCTTTGTCAGGAATTTTCCGTTTTCTCCAATTCGAACAACTATCCGGCCTCGGTGTGGTGCCTCTTCTTTCACCGCAATTCACTTCGTTCCACCACGTGCACATGCCCTTTACTTTATCGAAATTCAATCCATTCTTGCAATTCTGAACGGATTGTACACCGTCCACGCACATGTAATACTGATGGCAGTTATACTCGTGTGGCAATTCTATAGTGCCCATAGATGGGCATCCGTTCGGTAACAATTTTCCGACACAATCGGCTGACTGCTTTTGCACACAATTCAATAGCGTACGATCGAATAACATGTTAGAGGGACATAGTTTCACCACCAAATTCCCCTCCGAGCAGTCGTAATATTTCGCGCAGCTACACTCGTGCGGGTAGCGTACGATGGACCCCGATCCTGCCGCTGGGCACTCGAACTTCGTTTTCTTGCACTTCACATTCACCGCCAGATCGCAGCGAAGCTTCTCGCGATCGAACAACATTCCGTCGTCGCATTGTTGCGTAAGTTTTCGCCCGTTCTCGCACGTGTGGTAATTCTGACAGTGGATCGGATGAGGCCAACGGTGTCCGTCGGTAAACGTGGAACATTCTAGATTCATCGCGCACTGGGATTGACGGGGCGTGACGCAAACTTCCGTCACTGGATCGAAGTGGAGTTTTCGACCCTGTTCGTCGGACTGGCAGTCCTGTATGTACTTCTGTCCCATGGAGCATTTGTAGAACTTTGTGCAGTCGGACTCGTGGGCGACACGAACGATTTTATTCGCAGGATCTATCGTTGGGCATTTTGTAGCCGTTTCGGCGGAAATGATGCTCGCCATCGTTGCCATCGCAGCGACGGCCGTCAAAAGTAATTCTGAAATTAAACAAAGCGGACTTATGACTCGGTATTGTGAATTCGATCTCAACCGAGGCCGAGAAAGAACAATTGTACTTATCGTGTAACGATAACCAGGGGACTATGAACCTGAAAGCAAGTACAGGGTCCGGATTCGATTGTTTTAGTCTGATAAGCATTTGTGGAATTGATGAACATTTTGAACTTTTACGTTACATTTTCTATCGGACTTTCACGCAAATGTTGTATTGTAACGCTTGAAAGTTGAAAATACCTTACCTCTCATGTCGAAATGGAATGTATCTCTGTCCCACGAAGCGGCCAAACGTCAGTTATTGCAAAGGTAAAATGAAATATTAAAGCCCATACACAGACTTTTATAAGCGAGACTTATCGCACAATGACAAATTCGGTTATCATATCTGACATTCTCTTCACATGACGGTCACTTTCATGTTACCCCCATTCGTTTTTTTTTGTTTTTTGTACTTTGACACCACGCCCTCTTACACCTCTTGCATTTGTTGTACTGTTGGTACACAATCGCGATACAAAATACCTCCGTACAGTTCAGTATTTCTTCTGGTATCTTCTTACCTGACTAAATGTTTTTGAGAAATTATTGCGATTCGTACGGTTTTCATGCAGGATACCGATCAACAACAATATCTGCGCTCCGTTTGTAGAGTACTTTTATGATATTCTAATAACTAGACTACATTCAACGTTTCAGATAAAATACATACTTACAGAAAGCCTGACATGTTCATGATTAATTGTTTCCTGTATTAAACTGTGACTTTTGATAATGGAGTTGGTGGTCCGCCTGATCGATAGATACTAGAATTAAAACGTGATGCGATTGGGCCGAGTAATACTTTTCACTAATCAAGATAATTTTCGGCCTTTACGGTTACAATAGTAAAGAACAAGTAATAATATGTTGCGCTACATTGTTCGCTTATCGACAATGAAATAAAAACAATAAAAATCATTGTTATTAACCCTTTCGAAATAAATTACACGAACGTCTTGCATCGAATACTTACCAGTAACATGTACAGAGATTTTTTGTGTTTCGATATTGCATTGTTCTACAGTATCGGGGCAACAAAACCGCGTTTGGAAAATAATCGACCAGGCCTGTGCAGTCGTGCTGGCAAAGTAGAAACAGTATGTAATAAGCAGACACGTCAAGAGGCTCCTATTCGGCAGTTGGTGTATGGCCCAGTAAATTAAAAAATTTTTTTGAGTCTTGAGAGAATTATATTCTTTGACACTCGAGTTACGTATCTACCTTCATTCTGTATACACGCAGTCGAGGGCGAAAGGATTAATCCTAATCCGAATTTTTATTCAGTCATACCGCCGTCGATTCTCCGAGTAGAATCCCTTTCTTAATAGAACCAGAACCGTGTACGAATCAAGAAATTTTGATTTCATTTTTTCTTTTTTTTCATTTTGTCAGCCCTGATTTTCCGAACTTTTGTAAGCCTCATTATGTTTAAGACAGTAGTCCAAAGCCTTTGATTTTTATTAAGAACTACGCCCTCCAAGAACCCTATCATATATTCTCAAAGAATTAATAAGCGCCAGGCCATCCGCCTTGGGGTGTACTCAAAACACGTAACGTGTACCGTAATAAAATGTACTTCATTTAAGATTATACCATAAAGAACGCTTCGTGACCTCAGATTAAATTCTGTTGCCCTTCCACGTACTATCGCCAAGGCAATTCTCGATGCATACACGCTATCTGATCTTGCGATAAGAGAGTCCGTCAAAAAGCCGGGTCTGACCGCGGCTGGTCAAATCCCCTGTGACAAGAAACCGTCAACAGGATCATTAACAACCGACCGGGTAACGTGTGACAATCGAGTTACCTGTTATCATTAGTCGATAAGAACGCGACCTACGAGACACACATGACAGTGAACGACCGTCGAACGTGCAGTTGCATCGTGTTGTCTCCCGTATGCACCACCGGTGCCTCTGATGTCGCATGCACCGACGGTGCACGGCGGTGGTCTACGGTGTCGATGTCGCCGCGCTCCCTCAAAAATAACGATCCAATGGGAAACGTGTAAACAATAGCTGGAAGGGAAACGATTGGCGGCGCTGTCGCCAAGTCGGCCGAGTACGACGAATCGTCGACCGGGGATTTCGGGTACAGGGGAATGTGCATCGGTCGTCCTTACCCCCGCCCCACCAGCAACCAACACAACGGTGACGGCGGCACGGCTCATGTTCAGTAGACTCGGCCATTTCTCTTGCGAAGCGTAGCAACTCGTTCGCGGCCGCGACACCTTATTTTTTTCCCCCCTGACGACAGTGCGGGTATTCCCGGAAGGTTTGCAAAATAACGCGACGCAAAAGGATGATACACTCCGGGCGGACCAGGCTCGAGGTAAGTCAACGAAAACCTCTGTCTTGACAGTGGGACGACAGGGCCTCGCTCTCTGGCTCTTGTGGAAACGCGCGTCAAAGTCACCACACGGGGGGGTCGTGCGTGTATCCAATGTTGTCATTGCCGAGGCGAACAGCTGATCCGCTCCCCTGGCCTCCGTGGTGCCTGGCAACGATTTCTCGCTCGTATCTCGCTCTCACGTCGCGACGACGAACCATCCGTGGGCATCGATAAACAATCGGTCCGAGACGACGGTGTTTTTCTACACATACACATACTCCGATGGACAAACGTTCCTAAAGGCCTTCTTTAACATTTTCATCGTTACCATTCCGCACATATATCTCTCTCCCCTCTGTCGCTCTATCGGTGCTGCTCCACCTGTCTCGCTCGCTCCCACGCTCGTTCTACGTACTTTGTTCTCTGTTTCTCTGATCGACCAACCGACTACTCCATCCTTTGTTCTTCACGTTCTTTCTTTCCGTCTTCCATCGTTCTTCGTTCTCTCGTCTCTACGGCGTTATGTCGATATCGTTGTCTCTCTGTCCTCCGACCGTGTTGTATCGTCTGTCCCCCGTCGACGACGGACAACGGACGACGTCACGTTGTGTCGTCGCGACGGTACGCACATTGTCGACGATCATCGTCCTCGCATCCCGTTGCCGTGCGATGTCCTTTTCTTTGTCCAATTCCACCTGGCTGATTAGCCCGCGTTTACGTATCGACTTGAATCGTCAAACCAATCCACTTCGATCTGTCTTTAACAAGAGATGTCATATACAAACTGATCGTAATTACCGTCTTTGATGGGTCCATGTCTCTCTCTCTCTCCCTATCTCTCTTTATCTATCTATCTATCTACCTATCTACTTCCCTCTCTATCTGACTCTCTCTTACACTTTCTCCGTCCGTCTTGATTTATCTGTCCATACCTATCTCTGTCTCTCGCGTTCTCGTTCGCTCTATCCTTTGTTTCTCTGCCTGCCTGTCTCCGTTCCTCCTTCGCCGATCGTTACGCGCTATTAGAATGTCAATGAGCGTTGTCCTTCTCGCCGGTTGTGACATTCGAACGTCACTCGGGAAATCGACTCCTTCCTTCATCGAAATCATTTCTTCTTCGTCTTCCCACCCTGTCGAACCGTTCAGGCTGGATGCGATCGCGGCCACGCGGCTCATTTCTGTGAAGTCGTCCTGAGTGGTTCCACGGGACGGTTAGATGGCCCTGGAATGCGAATCGGTTCCTTTGTCCCGGGACATTCTGTCGCAGATACGAATACGAAACGCCAGGCACCGATTTGGAGGGAAAACGGATGAGCCTGGGCTGGCGTCGCGGGACCATGTAAACAGAAACGGCGCGCGCCGCGTGCATTATGAACCACCAACCCGCGTTTCCTCTCGTCCAAACCGCTCCTGTCGCTCGACGAGGCAGGCCAACACTCCTTCGTAAATGTTTGAACACGCTGAGAACGCGGGACCATCGCTCAGAACACTCCTAAAGTGTGGAAACCCTTCTGTTAACACCTTGACACCGAATCGAGTGGTTGCACGTTTACTTATACTGTCGTGGATCCACGCCGTTTCCTCCCGTATCACTGGATCATCGAATACGAAGATCCACCGTTTACATTACACACTTCGGGGTACAAATCGTCCCAGGGAGTTAGGTAAAAATAATCTCTTTGTTGGTAAATATTGATCTTCGGAACTAAGTTTGAAAGAATGTGAAACTGCGTGGTCCTTGCCAGTGTTAGGCACAATTTTATCAGAATAATACATACTGAATATCAGTAGCATCGATGACCATCTATTATTCTGCTCCCTAAACTGTCAATGAGATAAAAAAAATTGTAATTTCCCCATTTGATCAATTAAAAATGACGAAATACTTTTTTTTATCGTTACTCGTAAATTCGAGACACATAATCTAGATCATGAATTTGCCTATCTCTGTCTACAGTATCCTACAAATTCGATGATTCCGTAAGGACCAATCAGATCATCCCGTAACACCTTACTGTAGCCTCTGTGAATTTCCTTGTACACGCTCGGATGATCGAGGAACTGTACGATGGATCAATTAGCAAATTCACGGCTGTGTATACGCGTTAAACTCACCTCTCCGCGTCGTTGACTACACCTTTCCAATCCAGTATTGTTTTCCGTTCAGGATCGCTTGTCGGTAGCAGTAGAAGGTAATCAATTAGTAGACTGTCGTGTACATTTATGCAAGCTTAAAATTTCGTGGATTGATATACTGAATTTTCGACCATCGTGTGTGTAGAACGAATCAGTAAAAAACAATGATTCGAGTATAGAATATCAGACAGAGATAATGAGTATCGAGTAAATCCGAAAATTCTCGAGCGCTCGACGAAAGGGGTTACGTAAGGAACGGGAAGAAGAAAAAGCGACGCGAAAAATATTTCGGAATTCTATTTTCGACCCGGATCATTTCCCGGAGCGCGAATGGTAGCCGCATTCCCGCGTTCTCGCACGCGACATCGCGCGCGCATAGCCGTATCTCGGGTTTAACTCGAAACGAAACGCAAACGACGTCCGATATTGCGTCGATTCCTCACCGCGACGGTAATCCGATTTCGCGACAACGTTTTGCTCCCTCGTTTACGCAAAATGTCCTTGCGATCTCGAGTACGGGCCTACCTTCGTCACGGTTCAAGAAAAAAAAAAGGTGACGAAGACCGAACAGTTTCGCATTCAGTTAATTAACGCATCACCGTTCGCGATTCTACGCATAAAAGAAAAGACTTTCGCCGAGTTCCGTTTTATTTCCCGCCACGCATTCGACGTCGCGAAAAATCGTAGATCGCATGGTCAAAAACTATGGAAATAATCGAAGCCTCCGATTATGATGAAAATTATACAGATTCGATCTTGAACATTTCTCGTCGAAGAAATCTTGCAACGAGATGAATGGATCTCTGATACGAGGATCGTTCAAGCGGGGTAATTAAATGATTCTGAAAATAAATTTTTTCGATGAATAACAACTCCAGTCATGTTGTTCGGATATCAAACCCTGTACGATGCGCAAACACTTTGCATGTTCGTTGATGCCTCGATCTTCCTTAGGTCTCCCACGGCGGAGGCCGTTTACGCACTAACCTTCCTAACTTATTAAACCTTCGAACTTTCTCGACTCGATCATCGAGATTCGAAGTCGTGTTTGAGCTTACAAGATGCAGAAAACGGTGGTTTACATTCACCATAATCACGACGACGCGGAATTACGCGCGAAATCCACCTCTACGGGCGTCGCAGGCCCTATATTTAGATCGAACTCGTTAACGAGAACCGTTGGACCGTCTGTAGAACCCTTCTTCGTTGCCTGCCCTTGTCGAAAAGTCAACGCGACCAATTGCGAAGTTGCATCAATCCTGAAGCTGCGAAAAGGGTATTTATAGAGCAGATCGATACGAGAACTTCGTGTGTTACGATTACTTTTTAAATGCTCCGACCGCGCGTCGGCCGTTCCAATTTTTTTTCTCTCTCTTTTTCGTTCTACGTATGATTTCGGACGCTGCGATATAGAAACATATTATTCCGAACCTCGTTTCGCAACAGCAATTACCGTTTAATTAAACATGCGATCGTTGTTTCGTCGGAGCTTCGACGGCTGGACACCGTTACCATGCAACGACGATCTCCTACGTTGTCTCCATCGACGATCGTTCCCACGCGTTGGAAAATTCGTCCTGAAAACTCTTCGCACGGCTGCAAAAATGATTCGAGTGCGTCACCTGAAACACTTTCTACGGCTTTACGCTCCTCTCGCCGCTTGTTGCCATGCGGCTGTTAACTCGACTCGAGCATCGCGTGTTTTTCCCATCGAAAACGTTTACAATTTTTCCCCGAACAAAAACCGCGATACAACGCCGCAAAAAGCTCGTCTTCGACGTAGAATCCTTCCCCCACATCTCCCCGCTAATCTAAAACCCTGGTTCGCTGTTAAAAAAATTCAGAACGCTTCGTCGATCCTTTTATCCGAGGTGTCTACACCGATTCAAGCCTGTAAAGTATTGCACGCTAGATGGTACAGCTTAACGCGTTATTTGTACTCGTTCGAAATCATCAAATTTCATACGCAGAGTGTTTCCGAAATGGTGGTACAACTCGGAGAGGATGTGATTCTACATGAAGAAGTAAGTCGAGAATATAGAATAACATTTCCTCGTACGATGCTTCGTTTTCGAGAAAATCGAATTCGCGAATCCGCTGGATACGCGTGCAATTGAATAAGCCTTGGCTAACGCGTCTGTTCATTGCACTCTGTTTCTACTTATCGCCACTATGAATACCTACATACGCGTTAGGTGAACCTTGAAAATTGCTTATCTCGGAAACGAAGCATCGTACGATAAAAATGCTACTCTACATTTTCGACTTAATTTTCCATGATAGAATCATATCCTGTCGATGTTGTACCACCATTTCGGAAACATTCTGTACAAGTGACCACTAACCGTGACACTAACCGAGTACGCTAACGCTTGCCCAAGAATCTTCTGGAACGTCTCGAGTATGCTAATGCCATTACGAACAAGACGAATCATTACATACATGTTAAGTTACAAAGTGTAATTCTCCTGTTTACGAATTCTCTCGATTAATAAAATCAGCCGACTGTTCGTGACGTCACGTTTCATCCCCAGTAGTACGATTATTTTTTTCGTAAAGTCATGGTTCTCCTGGGAGAACCACTGATCCACTAGCAAACGGAATCGATCCCCGGTGATGGACGATGATACGTTGTTTTAGAAAAAAGTAAGTCGCGTGGGCGTGGGAGGAGGGGGCCAGCTCGGTCAAGGGGTGCAACCTGTCGAGGAGTCCGGTGCCGCGAGCGGACAATGGTGGAGGCAACAGAATCCATCGTATCATCATCACCATCACCATCACCAACACCATCACCATTACCATCATCAGGCCGGTTATTACACGTCGCAATCGCACAATCACAACAATCCTGTCACTACCATGAAGCAGTCTTACATGCAGGTTGGTCCAACATGTGTACCGTCGCTCATGCCCCCTGTCCCGCTGCTCTCCTCGCTACGCTTTGTCGTTTTTTACCCATTCTCGTGTGCCAGTCCAGACACATTTTCGGCGACGAAAACAAAAACCGTATATCGAACGTATCCGATTACCGACCGTGTCCTGGATCGACGCGACATTCACCGTAGACTGTTTCTCTTTTTGGTTGCAGCTAACATGGGTGTTTCATGACGACGAGGCGCAGATTAATAAGAAACTGCCAAAAGAATTGCTGCTTAGGTACCGTAAACGTACACAATCTCTTTTTAAATTCCGTTTGCACTCGACTGCCTTTCGCGCGCAGCACACCATCTTCCCTTTTTCTCTTTCTTGCATACATACACACACTTTTTTTTTTTTTAATTTTTTTTTTTTATATACGGTCTTATCTAACGGGAATAGATTGTTAAATTAAGACTGGATCCCCTCTCGAGTAACACGATTGCCGTACGATTGATAGAATTTTCTCGTATCTGGACGTGGTGTCGCTGTGCCGGTGCGCACAAGTGAGCAAAGCATGGAACGTGTTGGCGCTCGACGGGTCCAATTGGCAGAGAATCGATCTCTTCGATTTCCAACGGGACGTGGAGGTAAATCGAACGATTAACGCGTCGCTTACCACGCTGTATAACGTCGTCGTGAAATCGAACGTGAGCTAAAAGTACTACCTGGACTTTTTAGGACAAATCAAGGTTCCCTGAGCTATTCTCCTTCGGGATCATACGAACCATCGAAATATCACTTCGGTGTAATATTTTCACACGTTTCGAGTCAAATTTCAACGAGCTATTGAAGGAAACTCGAACGTCTCGAGGTGTTAATTGAAATATTTTTACGACCACGCTATACATTATTCCCATTCTCGACTTGTAAACCATTTTCTTCATTTCTTGCCACTCCTATACAGTAAATTCTCGATGAGTATTCAAAGGATTCTCACCACTGAATATTAAATATTTCATAAACTGACGTCCATATGCGACTGAAATAACTATCACTAGCTTCAAAATTCCAAGCACTATCACTTTGCTAAACCTCATTAAAAAGGTCAACGTGACACCAGGAGATCTCCCTCCTTCAATGCCGAGTAACCTTCGAACAGTCATCGAACATTTACTGTATATTCGTACCTAAAAGTTTCGCTCCGAGTCCCCAAGAACCGCGTGGTAAGCGACGCGTCAGCCGACGATGGGACAATTCTCGTCCCAAAAACGCAGTGTTTAACCGAGCCGCCCAAACGCAGGCACGGGTCATAGAGAATATATCGAGGCGATGCGGTGGCTTCTTGAGACAGCTGTCCCTCAGGGGCTGCCAGAGCATAGGGGACATTTCGATGCGCACCCTCGCCCAATTGTGCCCGAACATCGAGGAGCTGAATCTGAGCCAGTGCAAGAAGATCTCGGACGTCACCTGCGAGGCCCTCAGCAAATACTGCCCGAAACTGCAACGACTGAACCTGGACTCGTGCCCTGAGATTACAGACAAAGCCCTGAAGGATCTCTCGAACGGATGTCGGTTTCTCACGCACATCAATCTGTCCTGGTGCAACTTACTTACCGACAAGGGTGTCGAGGCGCTGGCGAAGGGTTGCCAGGAGCTCCGGAGCTTTCTTTGCAGAGGCTGCCGTCAGCTGACCGACAAGGCCGTCAAGTTTCTGTCGTCTTATTGCCATAATTTGGAGGCGATAAGTCTACACGAATGCCGGGTACTTATCGATGCAACATTAAGAAACCGTTATCTGGTACAAGCCATTCTCGGGAACGTAGTTCACGCAGTTCTGCTATCGTTTTGCACGTTAATTTATCGGGGGTATCGGCGCGAGCGATTGGAAAACGGGAGAATTCAGGGAGATACGTCTGAATTTAAACTGTGCATCATACTTTATAGAAAATTTACGGGTTCATTGCTAAGAATGCGTGGATACGTTCCACGAACGTGTCGTTGGAACGTCTCGTGCAATAGGTCGTAAAATATGCTTTCGTTATTCTGTCCAGTTGATTCTATTGATAAACGCGTATCGACGATGAGCCGTTTAATGACATTAAACTTCCATAGGAAGAAATTCACTCAACGAAAATGTATATTGTCTGCTACTTTTAACATGCTCCGTCACCACGGGACTCATATTGGTGGGCCGTTTGCGCTTTCAAATCCTCGCTCCGAGCCGTGAACGTAAATTGGTACAATACGCATTTAGTACGGACGATATATGTATAGACGTCTTGGTGACTGAGAGCAAACACGCGAGTGCAAAGAGTTAACAGGTTCAGCGCCGTGATGAACACCGGTGTATGATATTTGCTTTCTGCATCGTGTACTTGTGGCTACATACGATGTTTGCCTTTCGACATCGTAGTCGACGGTGTTCCGGTTAATATCAACGTGATTCCTAAAGCTCTTGATCTACTCGGTATCGCCTGGTCTATGTTCGATGAATCCGATTACTCGCATTTACGGTTACCAATGAGACACGACGATACAAATTGTGTGTTGCTCGCTGATTGTAATACTATACACTAGGCGCTGAATCTGTCGCAGCCTCGTGAATACCAGCTCTGTTTCAGAATGTCACGGACGACGCGGTAAAAGAGCTGAGCGAACGGTGTCCACGATTGCATTACGTTTGCCTGTCGAATTGCCCGAATCTGACCGATGCGTCCCTGGTCACGTTGGCGCAAAATTGTCCACTCCTCAGCGTCCTCGAGTGCGTCGCCTGTACCCATTTCACAGACGCGGGCTTTCAAGCTCTTGCAAAAGTAAGTGAGTGGTGGAGATCACCGACGGGGATCGATACACGATCTAAAACCGCACACAGACGTCGTGCGTGTTCGCTCGCGGCCTGATTATCGTACATCGGCTTTGGTTTCTCATTTCAGAATTGCCGACTACTCGAGAAGATGGACCTGGAAGAGTGCCTTTTAATTACAGACGCCACCCTCATTCACCTGGCCATGGGCTGTCCCAGATTGGAAAAGCTGGTGAGCTGATATTTCGACGATTGCTACCGTAAACTAATCAAAGTTACTATCGTAACTAATCAAAGCGATATCCTATTGTCGAATCTACGAGTCAGATGTTTCGAGACCACGATTTTATAGAAAAACATGTTTCTTAGAATCCTTGCTTCTCCGTCGTGTTTGTAAGAGGCAAATTGTCTTCTATAGCGTTTATTCGATACCGATTACAATTAACGTTGTTTCCGTCGAACGGTTTACGAAAACAGAGTCTATCGCACTGTGAGCTAATCACCGACGAAGGCATCCGGCAGTTGGCTCTCTCGCCGTGTGCGGCGGAACATCTGGCGGTGCTGGAACTGGACAACTGCCCCCTGATCACAGACGCCAGCCTCGATCATCTTCTACAGGCCTGCCACAATCTCGAGCGCATCGAGCTTTACGACTGTCAACTGATCACCAGAGCTGGCATACGTAGACTCAGAGTACGTCTTTTAATTTCGCCGATCTCCACGTCTCTTGACGTGCACTTTGGCAAAAAATTAAAACAATCCAATTGGAGGTAACGGGTATAATTCCCAACCCAGTGGGGCAATAGAAGCTAGAGAGTACCAACCAGGTCATCTTCATTTCCAGAAATTCAATACAGACCAAATTATCAGCTACCTAACTACAATAAATTCTCGATCGATGTTCGAAGACTCTCCACAGCACTGACAAAGAGAGGTCCCTGGATGTAACGCTGACTTTTTAATGAGGTTTAGCACAGAGATAGAGTGTGGAATTTTGAAGCCAATGATATTTGTTTCAATCGCATATGGCTATTAGTTTATGAATTATTTAATGTTCAAACATTCGAATACCTATCGAGGATTTACTGTATCATAATATCGTTACCTCCAGGTGTACATCCTCTACGACACGTTTCGCGTCAAATCTGTTTCGATAACGATTAAATTTTCCGTCCGTTTGTTCCAGGCGCATTTACCCAATATCAAAGTCCATGCGTATTTCGCGCCGGTTACACCACCGCCGAGCGCGGGCGCGTCCCGGCAACGATACTGCCGGTGCTGCGTCATTCTGTGATTCCGCATCCAAGTGATTCTGATGTAAATCGTCCGACGTGCCACACTACCGGTGGACAAATTGTTTCGGTGATCGTTGGTTGCGGCGATCGTGGGAACCCTCTTCACTACGGCCGGCCGGTCGGCCAGACGGCACGGCGCTCTGGCTGGCCGTTTGCCACGTCGACAGAGTGATGAGAAACGGGAGCCTCATCGTGAGAATCGCGAATCCTTCGAAATCCATCGTTCGAGCCCGCTACATACGCAACGAGTTACAGTAATCGTCACCGTCACCTACAGAACACCAACCACGGATTACACACCGGGGACACAACCACCAGGCCGTTGCTGCAATTAACTTACCGTTATCAACGCTACTATCCACTACTATACTCGCCGCTGTTCGATAACTAATTTGCGCAGGGGTCCGTTTATCGGTTTCTACTCGGAGACTTCCCGTTGTTGTTTTTGTTTCTTTTTTTTTTCGTTCCGCCCCCCCCCCCACCGATAGTAACGCCACTATCAGCAACCGCGTTCCTCATCATACGCGGTGAATCGAAAATCCAAAGGAAAGAAATTCCACAGGTTGTTCTTGTTGCCCGCGTTCCGCTTACTTTCTCTCGAAAATCACTCCGTGTCGATCTCGCGTTAATTGTCAAAACGGTTCTGCACCGCGCGTGTTCGGTGTGCAGGCACCTCTCGTTGTTTCTTCAGAACTTCTCGCTCTTCGATGTTCCACGCGACGAAACCAAGGAAACAAAACGATATAAGCGTATGTATGTACATATATATACATATATATATATATATTTTTTTTTAGTACGACGCATCCACTCTCTCTCTCTTAATCTCTCTTGTGCTATAGACGCTATAAACTATCGAAGAGGAACCGCGCGTACGTAACCCTTCCGACGGACGCGTCCACAATGATGATTTCAGCCATCCCCGAGGGATGATAGATCGCGTTCGAACGCACCTCGATTAAATCGTAGAAAACTCGATCTCTATCGAATATCCGCTCTCGCGTTCGCGCCTGCGCGTGTATGTGTGTTCCTGTGTACAGCAGTTTCTCAACGAACACTGCCTATTAAATAACGTTATCGATAAAAATAAACGGAAAATGCCGATGACAAAAAAAAAAAGAAATAACGAAGAACACGAGTGTCGTAGGTTTTTTTGAATCTCGTCGTGATACCGTAGATACTGTCTCGTTCGCTAGAGTACCATTTGTACACCGTGTGTGTCTGCTGTGTGTGCGTGCGTGCGTGTGTGCGTGTGTGTGTGTGTGTGTGCGTCTTCGGTGAACGAGGACAGAGCGCCAAGACGTGTTTCCTTTTTACACATCCGTACAGAAACGGGACGCACGATTGCACCGCCGCGGCCGACGCCAACGATAAACCCTCGGAATTTCTTTCCTTCTCGCGAGGCACACGTTACCCCGTTACCGACATACTTAAAAGCGGACGGAGGCTGATCAATTCAGCGGGGTTGTTGACTTCTCGAGGGAGACAGAGTCAGAGTCATCTTCGTGATTCGCGTTTAATTGCCGCCTAGTTGTTAGACAATTGCGGAGGCGGCACGTTCAAACAAGATGATGCATTTTCACGGCGATTCGCGGACAAACGACCGACCCAGTTATACCCGTGAATCGCTCTTATCGAGACCCGAAACGGTATTTCTTCTCGACTCGGCCCGTATACTTTCCACCTGCCTTCTTTACCCTTCCCGTTCTGTTCTTTTTTTCCGTTTCCTCTTCGATTCTGTTTTTTTCCTTTTGTAACTTGTCATGGACTAGGAGAGCACAGACTGACAAAATGAATCAAAGCGTTTAAATACGTTGAACCGATTCACTTCGGCCCAGTGACCGACTCGCTGGCCTCTCTTTTACTTTTTAAGCCTAGGTTACGAATTGGTGGCGGTACGAGAGCCGTTGGAACGCGTCCGGAAAACGCTGATCGCATCGGTGATCTTCGGATTGCTCGTTGAGACGGACCGTGCACGATCTAACGATACTGGCCAATGGTCATTACAGTAAACTCATGTTAAAGTACTGCTTTTGGGGCCCTGCAGACGGCTTTCTCTAGGAAATAGTACATTCCTCGATCGATGGATCAATTATTGGCTACAGAAGGAGATAGTGAAGTGCGTAATAATACCACCTTAACGTCAGTCTACTGTAAATACGGATCGTGTTATAACGATGGATTGGTGTATATCAGTATTGTCGAACGGTGGTGATGGAACTCGATCTTAAGAGAAATGATAACAACAAGATCACGAAAATAATTGTCAGTATCGTTGACTTTGATTCATTTCTCGTGCAGGGTCTGTTCCACGAGCATCGAGTGTTCGGTAACTTCGCGATTAGGTGGCGACGAGAAGGAAGGACGAGAGCTGACTCGTTCGTTCAACGGCCCCCTTCGTGTTGGATGCACGCGATGCACAAATGTATCGAGAAAAAAAAAACGACGGTTCGTACACGTGGCGTCCGTTACCCTGGGGGACAGTCGCGATAATCTGGACCCGAAGTTTGTCCGGAAAGACGTAAAGGGTGAAACTTGACTTGAAACGAGACTAGACATAGAAGTGGAGCAGTGTTGACCGTTCATGGTTGCTTTCTCCATTTGTAGATCTCACGGTTGACCATTTTGTCCCGATGTTTCATCATCAGCGTTGCGTGCTCAATCGATCCTCGTGGATTTTGGTGTTTACGGTAAATCATCAATGAGTGTTCGAAGGCTCCTCGGCACTAAGTGTTCAGACGTCATTCTCATCATTGGACGATTGATTGGTTCTACGGGGGACTCCCTAGTGGTTCGAACACTCATCGATGAATTACTGTACAATACTTAGGAATGCGAAGAACCCCTTTCAGACGAAGATTCGAGCGATTTAACCGAAGAACGCAACCTTGAACGGCGAACACGTATCACTTCGAATTACAGATCGGTGAACCGCGCACGGGGTACATAATAAATATCGAATTTCGATGCAGTACGTTCGAATGTCGCGGCGTTCATCATGACAAACGTGTGTGTAAACGCAGTGAGACACGTGACACCATTTTAGTCGTGTTCGCGGCGTTCAACAGGTAGAAGAATCTTTAATTGTGAGAGAAGATTCTCGTTAGGGAACCGTGTTCGGTCGGATTCTTGATCGATGCGTGATTTATTTTCGCTAATGCGAATCATGTCGGTTATATATACATATATATTTCTTGTCGTAGCCCCGGGATACTCGACGATGAAAGGGGCCCTTCTATACGTGCAGGGGAAAAGGTCGAAATTTCCGAGCGACGAACGGCTGATGGAGACCAGACTCGAACAGTTTTTTAAAACGGTCCATCCCCCTCCACCCACCTCCCCAAAATGTGCAATAACACGCGGGACACTATCGTCGCCCGTAAAAATGCACTCCGTTTCAATCTTTCCCCGTTGTTTCGACGATTCGAGAGCCAGCCATGGGCACGACGACGACGACAACGACGTGTCGTCCCGTTGAATTGAGGGAAAAAAACCACAAGAAAAAACATAAGTATCGATTGTTAATCCTTGCTAGCGTGTAAGAACGTACACCGCGTATATTTAATACATATAGCGTGTAAACAGAATACCGAATAAATATGTTTTATACGCTGCATGTCATCCCTAGAGGAATAACGTGATCATTGTGAGAACGTAACCGTTCGAAGTCGAGTTTTGTTCTAGCGATTAAGCGATGCTCGTTTGCAATGCACGATTGTAAAATAATTATATCGACGACGCGAGATGTGATCAAGAGGGTTGAGAAAAGGGGCAATTCCGGACGCGTGATCGAATATACATGCTAGGCGAACACGCCCAGTCCTGTTGCTCGCGATTTTTTTGACATCTTTCTCTCTTTTTCTCTTTCTTTCACTCAAAAGAAAGAGAGAACAGTTTCTTTTTTTCTATAGTTTCGCCGGAACCCTGTTTCCTTTTTGGAAAATCTCGTGGATTCGATATGACACGGGGGAGAGCGTTGACATATGGCTGTCGTGTGTATCGTGTTCGTACGGGGCCTGGCCTGGACATATGAAGTCAATCGTTGTGCCTAATATCACCGTAAAAAAAAAAACAAAATGTTGTATATATATTACTACGTAGTCGAAAAATTCTACAAAGCAGAAAAATGTACAAGTTACAGAGAGACCACGGACTCTCAATACGCCAGCCAATTTAGGGATATCTCGAGTGTCTTCGTCCGAATTAACAGCCAGCCCTGTAGAACCAACGGATCGCCGTGCGTCTATATTTGTGATTTGGTAATCGTTTAGCGATGGTCGTTGTTCGATGTCACAGCGATTAACATCGACTGTGCTTTGCGCGTGAGTTTTAGATTTGTTGCCGTTTCTGGCTTCCAAGACGATTCTGCTGTCTAAGAGAATTTACGATATTCGATTTTATTTGTGCGTATCGCGTTCCTTGAACGAAGTTTCGATTGGACTTTACGAAGATTTAAAAAAAAGACAGCGCACGCAGAAAATGTCTTAAGACATCGGTAACATAAAAATTTTTAGATTATTCGTTTACTAGCACCAAAGTTTTAAGATTTCCTTGGCTTTCGTTCGATAATTCGAAGAAAGACCATCGCTATGATACGATTACCAATGTATTCGCTCTGGCTAAAATCTGTTCGATTTTTGTTTGTAAACGTGAGAATATGATTAGACTAATGCATACGGCGCTTCGTTTCCTTTTTTATCTATGTGTCTATTAAACAACGTATTGACATGAAAATAGAGCAACGTTTCGTATGCACCATCTAACTCAATTCAATCGATCCACCAATAATTGATTATCAAAGATTCCCTTGTCGTCGAGTGTTTGATGAACGATTATCAACGATCAACAAGGTCAGTGAATCGGCGTAATCGTTACTAGAGTGTGACAAAAAATGCCGTTCGGTCCCGTTACGTCGAAAATCTATAAGACGCGAGAGCCTGTCGGGTGTCCCGTTGATCGGGCTTGGTAGAGAAATCGTGATCGATGTATCAAACAATAACGATGGAACGTGTGTGTGGTGAACAGAGGACGACGGTGAAGCCTCAGAAATCGTTCGTACATTCGAGGATCACTGACGAGCGTCTTCCGATCGAACCGTTAAGGATCCCTTCGAAGTGTATTTATTCGACGAGTCTCTCTTATCAGCGAAAGGAAAGAGGTATATACTTCGAAAGATATGTGATCGAAGCCCAAAAACAAGCGATTTTGGAGGCATTGCTGTCCGTTTGTGTCATAAAGCATGTAAGATCATGTCGTAGCGTGGCATGTCAGTGGTTAAGAATCGCAATAGTGTCACAGGCAAACGAAAACAAAAAGGGGGAAACGAGACGTGATCGAAGGGGGATAAAAACGATGCTTTGAAGCCGAGTGATCGAGCAAGTGTTTGGCTGTGCAGTAGAATAGGAACGAGAGAGAGAGAGAGAGAGAGAGAGAGAGAGAGAGAGAAAAAGAACGGTAGAGAGAACGTGAGATTGAGAGTGCGAGAGA